AGCTTTTCCCCTCAGAGAAGGAGCCATTTCTGAAAAGCTGTGGGGGATTTTTTTTCTTGGAGCTTACTTGTTGAAGTGATGCTGTAGAGATGGAGATACCAAGTTTCAATATTGCCCAAAGAAGGAAGGTAGGATTTCATTGAAATAATAACCGATTCTCACTATGAGAAGCTGAAGGCCTGCTTTGGTCAGGGAAAAGCCTATGTCCTTTCAAGCTATGAGTGTTTGCATCTGAGGGCCAGTTCCAGCAAAGACTGTTATAAATACTCAGCTGACCCCATTGTTAGGACACAGAAGGTATGAAATCTTGTGTTGTTTTTTGTCTCCAGATGGTAATTGAAGATGTCCTCAAGCCAGACACCTGTGTTTGCCGAATAGCTGAGGGACAAATTCTGGATGGTGAGTGTATTAGTGCTGCTGCTTAAGTCTGAGACTCAAGATTTGACTTTTGATATTTTCTGAACAGCATCTTTAGCTTGTTGATTATGAAGAAAGGTGTCCAACTTTGCTGCAGAAGTTCTAGTGTTCCAAGGAGGACATTTGTGATGTGGGAACCCAAATTTCTGAAGGAAGGTTTACACTCATGTCAGCCTGCCCAAATGCTAAACTTGTCTACTCTTTTCCGAACTTCCTTTTTCTCAGAGATGATTGATGGTGGTTTTGTCTTTTACTTTTGCTACCCTGTTTATGATCTCAAAACACTTAAAATTCTTGCCCTGCTTTTAACAGTTTGTTTTAATACTTTTATAGATAAACATTACTCTTTGATTTTGAAATATTTGAAACCTTATAATAAAGAACGCTGTATATATCGGTATACGGAGATACAGGTATTCATATTTAAAGAGACCTTCAATGCATAATACTTTTAACGAGATTCTTTTATTTAATACTAGGACTATGAACTGATAGATTAATCTGCCAAATTAAGCAAATTAATTTCTGAAATGTACTGTTATCAATATTTCAGTATATCTGATTTTTTGAGATAGAAATGTGAGCATTTGCAATGTTTTTATTTCTATAATACTTGCTACTCTTAGTAGCAGAATTACTTTACTGTCTAGTTTTTTTAATTCCAGCTGTGTTAATGAATCTGGGCAATTATTTTATAGTCTCCCCTGATTAACAGTTTCTGCTAGGGAACTAAAATATCCCACCTAAATTTCAGTTGATCTGAAATTGCTGAACACTTTTTTTTAAAACATAGTAGGTGAAGGCAGAACATATATAATCAGTTGTGTCCAACTCTTGGTGCCTTTATAGGCAAGTGCTCTTCATGCAACCCTGTCAAGCACATTTCTTTCAATTGTCCATCTTTGTATCAGCTTTGATGGCATCAAGCCAGAGAGTTCTTTGCTTGCCCTTTTTCCTTGATCCACTCACCATTCCTAGCATCATTGACTTCTCCGATGAATTGGCATGCATGACATGGCCAAAGTAAATCAGACATAGTTTTGTAATTTGGGCTTCTAGTGATGTTTCTGGTTTTATATGATTCAGCACCTCTCTGTTGGTTGCTCTGGCTGGCTATGGTATATGCCATAATTTATGCCACCGCAGTTCAAAGGCATCCCTACATTCAGTTTTTAGCACAAAAAGCTTTACACTACCACTGAAAGTCTGACTTTAGTTTGGAGCATCTGTCAAAAACTGGCCCAAAACATTTCAATCTTATCTGTTACCTGGATAATTGGGAAGAAAATAGTGTGAGATGCAAAGTGCTGCTTAAGGCCCATCTAAAGTAGGATAAGAAGGTACCCATGTGATGGCCAGGTTCCCAGTTTCACTTGAAATTAGAGAAACTATGTTTGAGAAATTCTCTTGTACACGATTTTTCAGGTAGTTAATGGAAGAGTGATATTTCAGGTAGTATTAGTGACTTCAGGTTCTTGCTTTGACCTCTTTTACAGGTATCCATGAGTCTATGCTGGAGACTGTAATTCCTCGGAATGATTCAGACTGGGTTATGGTGGTACTAGGAGAACATGTTGGAAAGGTAAGTCACTAATCCAGTGAGATGGAACCTAGCTAATTTCTCTTAAAGCTCTTGAATTTCATGCTCTATAAAGATATGGGATTATATATTTGTTTGTTTATATTTATTATTAAATTTATATGCCACTAACACAATGGTAAATTGCAGGTATGATAACAAATTGTTACTTCAGATGCAGGTGATCCAAGGTGCCATCTTACTCTTGTGGTCAAAATTATGGGTTACATCTTATTTTATCCTATAATATTTATCATGCAGATTTAGGCAGATAGTGGTAATAAAATAATGAAGCTTAGTATTGCAATGGCTACAGGTACTTTATTGCTCACACTACTATAAGAAGCTCCATTTATTTCCACTATATGGGTAGTCCTCAACTTATGACCAGTTTCTTAGCCATCATTCTAAGTTACAACAGACCTCCCCGAGGGTATTTGTGACATGGTTCTAATGGCTGCCACTCCAACCGTCAAACAACTGCATTTTGGGTGTGTGGCAGCCAGTCTGCCATTTGCGGCATCCCATAGTCACGTAACCACATTTTTCAATGTTTTTGCCAAATAGTGGCAGCATTTGCTTAATAACCTACATAAAAGCCTTGTGAAATTGGATGGATCATATGGGTGATCTACTTTATGACTGTCATGACTTACAATCATGATGGGCAGTCGTAAGTCAACAACTACCTATATGTATTTTTTGAAACAATTACAAAGTAAATTAAAATGCAGCAAGTAAGATTTAATAAAGTTAGGGGCATCTTTTTTTTTGGGGGGGGGGGACACACTGCAATATTACATGAAATTAAGTTATGCTCACTACTTAGAAGGGTTGTTGATCACTGGAATGCCACAATATTTGGAGCTCCACTGCTTGCTTACACCTGGTCTTCTCAGATGTATGCTTTTCTTCAGGAAAAGAAACACTAAACCTCATTCGTTGCTTTTTCACTCTTAAATTAGATGGGTCGCATTCTGCGTCGAGACAAGGGACAGAATCATGCAGTGGTGCAACTACAACAGGATGACGAAAAGCTTCTGACCCTGGATTATGATGCTATCTGTCACTATGTTGGTGGTTTTGAGGATGATTGAGATCCACAGCTCCTCCAAAAAAGAGAACATCTACAGAACAGAGGAATTTCTCTTCTGAGGCTCAAGATAAAGAGCCCAGTCCATAATGTGGCATCACAGTGGAGTGGTGTTGGAATTATTACGCATGACACACACCATGGGCAGCCTTCATATGCACAGCAATCCATGATTCATATTCAGTTATTTGGCTGGGGTTTTTTTTCTAATTAAGGTTTTAGATGTGCTGTTACTTTTGTCTAGTGACGTACAGATCTCTGAATCAGTGATAGCGCTCCAGAATTGCCAAAGACAAGAGAGTGATCTATTAAAGGATTATGTGGCATAATCAAACAGTTGCTGGTCAACTCTGGATCCAGAGGGCTGAAAAATAAGCCACCCCTACAACAAAGAGTTCTGATTTAGAAACTAGTGGTTCATGGACTTCAATTTTAAATTATTCTTTGGGATGTGGATTTTTTTTAATTTCTAAGTTCTTTTCTAGATAATAGCTACTTCAATTTGTGTCATCTGAAAATCTGGGATGAAGGCTGGTAAAATTATGTAAAAACTTAACTTGTTCTTAAACTAAAATTCTCCAAGCATTCAAAAATGGAACCTGGAACCAATGTATTTTCCTGATTTTTTTCAGGGTGGTCATTTTTTAATTGAACTTGTATTTACAAAATCCTGAAGCAATTAGTAGGCAGAAAAGAAAATTGTACACTGTGTAGAAGTTTGCAAAAGTTATTTTGTTGGAAGAAACTGATAAGATTACAAGACATTCCTGGAGGAAGGAATAATACTTACCTTCCTGGAGCATCTATTTTCATCATAGACCTAAACATAAATAAGCATCAGAAATGAACATAGATGAACCATCTTTTGGGAAGTGTCTCATTTTGCTAAAATGAATAAGTTTGTGTGTGTAAATTTCCCTCTCAAAATGTGATGTAAAGCTATGGTCCATTTTTCCTGCCATCTGTGTAAAAATGAACACAGACCCAATTACTATGTGTAAAATAACTTTCTTGGACTTCACTGATAATTTACTCTCTTCTTGGCTATAATATAAGTAAAGTCTTATTTTGCCTATTCTTTGTATGATTGTTACTAAAACTGATCAGTAAATTGCACTATCTAGGGTGGTCTTTAATTTCAAAAGCAAAAAAAAATTAAATATTTGACATATTGCAAGACATATTGCAACCTAGCACTGTTAGGTTTTACCATTTTCTGCTACCTTATCTCAAAACTTATAAAAATATTCACAAATAATGATATAATAGGATAAAGGCATTGAGGAAGAAAATGATTTCTAATAGAAATTAAAAAAAAAATGTTTCTCTCTCCTTGCCTACCTCTCCAAAGGATTATAGGTTTTTTGCTATTAAATAAGCCTAAGGGGAATTTATATTGATTTGGGCCATTTGCTAAGGGGAAATTATATTGATTTGTGATTGTCCTTTGTTTAAGAACTGAGCACTTCAAGACTTAAAAATCACAGAGTCCAAAGTACCTAACCTACGGTATGTGTTAAATTACCTGACTCAGCCAGCTGTTCTAGGACTGAAGGATGCAGTTTGGCTTGTTCTCTTGTTCAGAGAACATTTTGCTGGAGATAAATTTGGCCCTTTCTGAACAACAGGTGCTTCTCTCCTCTGTTCATACCTTTCTTTTTTAATGTTGTGATTCTGAGGATCAGCAATGTTAATTGCGTTTTAACTACTTTACCACAATATTTAAGCTCTTTAGAAACACATTTTCTCTTTCGTCCCGGTCAATTTCCGCAACGGGACAGCTGAATGACTTGTCTTGCCAGTCTCAAAAATGGCCGCCTTGAAAACAGACCCGGCCGATTCCCTTGTAGCAAGAGAGAATCCCGTATGTTCACCGCTCGGGGCTCCCTGCCAGTTTTCAACATGGCCGTCGAGACTTTCGTACTTCCTAGCTTACGTGAGCGCTCTGTGCCTTGTCTCTGTGGTCTAACGGAAGTAGCTTTGGGCTGCCTGCTGTTGTTTACCCCACATATAGCTGATGTCGATGTAAATAAAGTGGGGAAAGGTAAGGAATCCTCTGGGATGAAGCGGAGGGAGGAGTGGGGGGGGGGGACAAACTTCAGGCGGGCCTCTTTGGATTTTTAGGAAAGAAACCGAAGTGGCAGATTCTTGTATCTCCCCCATTAGGACAGACTGAGTTGAAAAATTTTGGGAGGGGAGGACGGGGTAGCTCTGTCGAAGTGGGAAGTAGGTATATATATGTTGTTCGAGAAGACCTTGCAGGAGTGTTGGGTATGAACACTTGCATGGGAAGAGGAAGTGGTGATGACTGTGGGGTTGGATAAGATCAGATCCCTATTAGGAGAGAGAATCGCTTTATTGCTGATGGGCTATAAAAGAGAACAAACCCTGGAGTCAGCCCAAGAAGAAAGACTGGCAAAGGGGTTGGTTAACGGAAGGAACTGAGGTTACATCGAAACAACAGAACAGAGACCGAAGTTCTTAAATGGAGACAGATATGAGTGGCAAAGGTATCTTTTGTGCAACCTTATGGTGCAGTCTCTTTAGTTGAGATGACAGCATAAATAGGAAAGCTCGTATGTTCTTAGGACCTGCTGAAAAAATGTCATCGGGGCTCTTTGGCCTTCCATTGGCATCATATCTCTCTGTCAATTTTGTCTTTCTGCACCGGGACGGCTACCTTATTGGGTAACAACAGAAAAGAACCAAAAACACTTGTGTGCCTGCCTCAACTGAGGCTGTCCCCTCAAGTTCTTATGGCTCAGCAACGTGGGGTCAATAGCCTGCGCTTCAATCAAGATCAGAGTAAGTTACTGAATTCTATTGAATGTGTTCCCAGGAGATCTAGCACTCTTTTATTAGGAGCTTGTAACTGAGAGTCATAGGCCCTTCAAAATAAGAGTTTTGAAATGTTTTCAGCTCCTAAGGTGATCTTGTAATCCCTGCATTTGAGAATAGCCATGTTGGTGGAAATATACTTTCTTTTTGTGGGGAATTGTATTTTTTATTTCAGGGATTCTTGGGGCTGGTAGTCTTAATATCGCTAGTAGATTATGATCTTCATTTTGGCTCCAGTGAGTCATGATGTTCCCAATATACCACACAGTTGATCTATGCTCTCTCATAATAGGCTATTTCTGCTGTGCTATGGAGACGGGTGTTCGGATCTATAATGTGGAACCTCTTATGGAGAAGGGCCACCTTGGTAAGGAACAAACAGGGCTAAAAATCTAGGACTGTGGAATATCTCTACTCCTGTGCAGTGAGTCCTATAATAGTACCTCTTGTTTTGTTTTTCACTAGATCACGAACAGGTGGGCAGTGTAGGGCTGGTTGAAATGCTACACCGATCTAATCTCCTTGCTATTGTAGGAGGAGGTGGCAACCCTAAATTCTCTGAGATCTCAGGTAGGTATTCTCAAGGGAAGAAGTGAAATCAAAGCCAAGGAATCATGAGTTGTAAATTTCAGCTATAACAGTGATGCAGAGAAAAGCAAATATGATCTCTGATTATCCCCTAACAGGGGATAATCTTCTCTGTTTCTCTATGTCCTTGTTGAGCTATGTCTCATGCTTCCCTTATAGTGTTGATCTGGGATGATTCTCGTGAAGGGAAGGAAGGCAAAGACAAATTAGTATTGGAGTTCACCTTCACCAAACCAGCACTGGCTGTTCGCATGAGACATGACAAGTATGTTTGGAGTTCATTCTCTTTCTACTGGGTCCAGAACATGGGTAGGATGTTACATCCTTCTGCTTATCTGAATTTGATTGCCACAGTGCATACCTCTTGTTTCAATATTATATTTAAAGTCCAGTTATATCCATGCAATTTGTTTACAATAAAGTCTGTACTGGCATCATTGACTGAAGCAGAAAAAAATAATGTGTATCAATTTATATTCTTGTATCAGAGATTGTCGTATTGACCCACTAGTTGGAAACAAACATAAATGTGTAAATATATACAATTCTAATTTAATATTTACCTTGTTTTTACCCTGTTGTAAGCTGCCTAAAGTTGCCTCTAGGCAAGATGGGTGGCATATAGATGTAATAAATAAATAAATTTGCCTCTGCAGCAATGTTCCCTAATACACTTGTATAATACTAGAATGGTGATGTAGAAGAAGAAGTGACCTTGGGACATAGTCAAAAGAGGAATCAGCCTAGAATCTCTACATAGCCACAGAATACATAGCCAAACACCCCCAGCCCTTGAATTCTGTTAACCCTGTGCTTCCTCTACCCCTTTGAGGTACCCCATGCTCCTTATCGCACTATGTCTCCGCTTTGCTTGGATTTTGGCAGGGAAGAAATTCAGCTCCAGAGCGCAGAGGCTTGTCCCTCTGCTCAGGGACTGAAAATCCAAGCAGAGTGAAGGAGAAATGTAGTAAGGTAAGGACCACAGGAGCCTCCTGTGAGTAGGGAAGGCACAGGCTGTGCACTGGTTTGAGGGGATGGTGGTGCAGACAAGCTTCTCTGCTCTGGAGCTGAAAATCTTTCCTGTCAAAATTCAAGCAGAGTGGAGAAACAGCATGCTAAGGCAAGGAGCCTGGGTTTCTCAAGGGGTAGGGAATCTCTGGGGGGGGCCTGTCACAGACTGCGCACAAGTTATTGGGATGCTGTGGGCAAATGTCTCTGCTCCGGGGCTGAAAATCCTACCTACCGAAAACTAAGCAGGATTTTCAACCTCTGACAGAGACACTTGTCTGCAGCACCCACACCCTGACTCACACATATCCTATGTTGGGCATCCCATGGCCTCGTCCACCCCTCTGAGGTACCCCGTATTCCTTACCTGGATTTTCATCTGTTCAGTGACACCTCCCCCCCCCCCCCTGAGATTTAATAACCACAGGGGAGTGCCTTGATTGCAGTCATGTGACACCTCTCTTAACAACTGGTTCAGTGGACAAGATTCCAGTCCCAATTGTAGTTTATTTAATTTATATTGCCGCCTATTCGCCCATGGAAACTCAAGGCGGCTTACACAATGTAAAACCATATTTAAAACAAAAAAATAAAAATAAAAAAACAATAAAAACTAACAAAAGGAATCAAACAAATTAAATTGTAGGTCAAGATCTACCTGTATTCCTGTATTATAACTGCATACCCCTGCGTTATCTTTGCAGAATAATAATTGTGCTGCGGAATCGAATCTATGTGTATTCCTTCCCCGACAACCCCACTAAGCTCTTTGAGTTTGACACCAGGGATAACCCCAAAGGTAAAATGGACCTCACTCACTCAGTGATTCCCTTATTTCATTCCTGTTTTCCTTTACTTGCATAAATGAAGGACCCGCTGCTCCTTCATACTGCATCAAGTCCAACTCTGACAGATGCCTCTCTGTTTTTTTTATCCATCTCTTACCTCAGGGCTTTGTGATCTCTGCCCCAGTTTGGAAAAGCAGCTCCTGGTTTTCCCTGGGCATAAATGTGGCAGTTTACAGCTTGTGGTGAGTGTTATGTGGTCGGGTGGGGGAGATGACAGGTTAGACATGAGAAATTCTTAGTAAATTTTACCATGGCCCGATACCAAAGGGAGACAATTTAATCTCAGGTAAGCTAGTGAAAATGACAATATTTCTTCATAGGTAGATAACAACCACATTTGATTCTGAAATATTTCAGAATCTTGTGCTATTTATCACACAAAGTAACCCGTACAGATAGCATTCAATTTAAAACCACAATTGGGACCAGAATTTTGGTCACTCAATAATGTGGTTGATAGGTGAGTTATTACATGACTCTATTTTTACAACTATTTTAACATGGTCTATTTTTACAACTATTTTAACAAGGTCATTAAGTGACTCGTGTACTATTCAGTGAATCCCACAGTCCATTAAGCAAATCCAGCCTCCCCCGATTGACCTTGTTTGTTAGAACCTGACTGGGAAGGTAACAAATCATGATCACATGACCAAAAGACATGGCAACTGTTGTAAATGCACACTAATTGTCAAGCATCCAAATTGTGATCATGTGACTGCAGGGGTGGTGCAGTAATCATAACTTCAAAGATAGGTTATAAGTCATTTTTTCTGAGGCCATTTTAACTTTGAACTGTTGTTAAATGGACAGTCATGAGTTGAGGACTACCTATATATAGAAATCAAATCAGTCACCTGTGTTAGTTGATTGTGTAAAATCAGGCTAAGAGCAATGCCAAGAATTGATATTTTTTTTTTAACTTAGTCATGTTTACTCCAGACCCAGGGTTGCAGTGCACACACTCAGACAGGGCAGCCTCTCTAAGCCCCTCCTTCCTTATTAGGCTTGTTTTATCAGTATTGTTGAAGCATTCCCTAAAAACAAAAAGAAGGCAACCTTGAGTTTCCCAGGTTGCCTTCCCAGACATTTAATAGCCAGTTTCAACTTGATTATCAGACGGGCTCTTTTGCTTTCATTCTGCATTGAGAAAGATCAGAAGTTGGCAAAAATTTGGATCATTCTTTGTTTTCTTCTCATTGCCAAGTTTAAGACTTGATTGCTCTTCCAGGCTTTTGAAATGTTTGTTACCAGAGGTTGTTTTTTTTGTTTTTGTATGTTGGTGATATTAGTTCTGATTTTATTTGGGGGAGGGGGCTTTGGGTATGGATTTAATTCCCATAACTAGCAAGAAAGAAACACAGACATGCTAATGAACCAAGATTTAAGGATTCTTTACCCTTGACTTCCTTCCATATTTGCTTGTATTTTACCAGCTTTGTACTGTCATTTCTATTTTTTTTTTATTTTTTTTACTGTTGTGCTCTTAGATTCTGGTATGATATTATTTTTCTAAATATATAATTTGTTTCATTGTAGAACATGAAACAGGCAGGCAAATAATGAGCAAAGTCTGATTCAGGTGCTTTAAACAGTGTCTGATTTGAATGGTCCTCTTCATCTTTTCATGTGGTCTTGACTCCTAAATTGATGTGTTTTGTGCAAACCAGAATCAGACTCGCCTTCAGAGTTTGCTTTCCTATATTTGGCTTGCACATGAACTATGGCATGGTAATGGGCTGCATTGGACTGAAGGGAATAATGTGGTACGTTTTTGCAAACCGTTCTGTTGAAATCAAAATAAACTCTGGTTTATTTGTTCTTAATAATGATTTGTCCTCACCTTAGGATCTTTCAAGCACCAAGCCTGGCACCTCGTCTGCCCCATTTACCATCAATGCTCATCAGAGTGAGATTGCCTGTATCTCCCTCAACCAGCAGGGCACCGTTGTGGCCTCTGCCTCAAAGAAAGGAACCCTCATCCGCCTCTTTGACACGCAGACCAAGGAGAAGCTAGTAGAGCTCAGGAGAGGGACTGATCCAGCAACTTTGTATTGGTGAGAACTCCTTCTGTCCCCACTTCACACGGGTGCTCCCTCACAAAATGTGCTCAGCTGTGCCTTCACCTGGGCCAGGCTATTTAGGAAGGCTGCATTGCATCTCAGATTCCATTCCTCCATTGAACTCTTGCTTCAATTGCAACCCATCCACCCCAGAGGGCAGGCCTGCAAAACACAAGAGGGTCACAGGGATAAGTTAATCCACCCTAGAGAGCAGGTCTGCAAAAATTATCAAAAGGGCCACACAGATAAATTAAAAATCCTTGTGGGTGGCAAGGATTACTGGCAGTACTCCAAGAATACCTGGACTACTGGTCAGCTGTTCTGCCGATAGTGGAAGTGCTGGAGCTGACAGTGGTGGGGCTTGGAAGAGTTCAGCGGCATGTTTTTGGGGGGCAGTGGCAGAGGCTGTAAATTTACTACTTTTAAAAAAAAACATTGGCAGAAATTAGTTAGGCCTGCTGTGGAGAAATAAATAATATTCTGTTAATCACAACTGCTGGAGACAAATAAAAGGCTAGACAGGGCAATGAGATGCATTGCTGAATTATTTACAGGCTTTGGAATGAGAAACTGATAGTCTTGTTAATGCCACTTCCTGGGAAATACCCAACCCTGTATCATGAAGTACTATGGTGAGACTTCTGACTGAGGGGATTGCACAAGGGGATTGCAGCGGAGGCAGATAATGGCACCAAGGTGTTAGGATGAATATTATTAACTTTTGAAGGTAGTTTTGAACTGAGAAGGTGAGATCAGATCAAGCCATATTATTAAAGAGATCGCTGTTCTGGATGGTTTTATTCTGTGCATGGAAAAATAAACAAAAGGCTTCCAGCTCAAGTTACAAACCTTTTCTGCTTCTTAAGTGTCAACATTTGTCTTTTGCCTGAGTACTGACCAGAAAGATAGGTGAGCCAATTTTTAAGGGGGTAACTGATGCAGATATCTGTGCTGCACCAGACAAGTTTGCTGTTTTTATCATTGTTGTAAGCTTGTTTACCACAGAGAGTGATTTTTCAAGTGGAAGGCCCATGCAGATCAAATCAATCCATCCATCAATTAATGCACTATTACTGGAAGTGCACATACTGCAGGTCGCAAGGTCTTTGTTAGAGAGACTGGTTTGTTCTGCTAGCTAAAAAGCAATACATCTCCAATAGTTTGCACGCAAGTAAGGGAACCTGCCCTGCTATTATGTAACAAGTGAAGCAAGCTAAGCAAGTGAAACATTGCACAGCATGGCAACATCCAAGGGTCCTAGATTAACAACCCAATGAACAGGTGCCGCTCCCATTTCTTGTTAATGTGTTTCTCAGAGGTTTCATCTTAGATGCAAGTAAACTTGACAGCTTCTTGGCCCATTCCAATAGACCTTTCCTTAGGGGTTCTGGGTGTCAGTGAGATGATCATATCCAAGGTTTGGTTGTGATTTCAGAGGCTCCAGTGGTGTGGCTGTGTAATAATCTAACACAAGGGTCTTCAAACTTGGCAAGTTTAAGACTTGTGGACTTCAACTCCCAGAATTCCTGAGCTAACATGACTGGAGGAGGAATTCTGGGAATTGAAGTCCACAGGTCGTAAAGTTGTCAAGTTTGAAGACCCTTGCTCTAACAGTTTTAGGAACTGCTAAACTAATACAGATCAACCTAGCTCAACCGGAATTGGGGCTGCAAGGACATTCTGGAAGATGTTGAAGACACAGCTCTTCACAAGACCATTTTAACTTTTTTGGGACCATATTTTGTTTTTTTTTTAAATTCTGTTCTTATTTCACTGTTACATAATTGCTTTGTGGATGTTTTGTTTTTCTAGTACGTAAACTACCAAGATTTTAACTGACTGTGATGGGGTCCATAACTCCTATTCCTTAGCCAGGAAGGCTAGGAATTATGGGAGTTGCATTCCCAATATTTCTGGAAAGAGGTTGCCTGAGTCAAGGGATATTTTACCAGGCTCCTCTTCAGGAGTAATATACAGATTACTGAAAAGAAGGCATTTGCTATTATAGAGACACGATCATGGAAAGAAACCTTGAATTGTCAGATGAAACTCCTTTCTTCCCCACAGCATTAACTTCAGCCACGACTCTTCGTTTCTCTGTGCGTCCAGTGACAAAGGGACTGTCCATATCTTTGCCTTGAAAGATACCCGATTAAACCGCCGCTCAGCGTAGGTAGTGGAGGAGGCAGGGAGGATGGTGCTATAAATGGGTATGAAGGGATGGTCAATCTGTAGGACCTTAATCCCATTCTTTCTCCTGCTGTCTCACAGATTGGCCCGTGTGGGAAAAGTTGGGCCCATGATAGGTCAGTATGTGGATTCTCAGTGGAGCTTGGCCAGCTTCACCGTGCCAGCGGAGTCTGCCTGCATCTGTGCTTTTGGGAGAAACACCTCCAAGAACGTCAATTCAGTCATTGGTGAGTGGCATTGATGAGAGGCAGTAGATGAGTTGGGCCTCTTGAAGTGTATCCCATACAACCATGACACAAGACCAATCCTGCCATTGATTATTTAGGTTAAGGACCCCCTCCCTCCCTCCCTCCCTCCCTCTCCTGTTTTAGTTTCCTCATATTTATTACTGGAGTGGTGCGGTAGCCTAGAGGTGGAGCTCTCGCCTCACAAACAGGAGGCTGTGAGTTCAATCCTAGGTAGAGGCAGATATTTCTTTCTCTGGGCACAATGAGAATATATCTGCTGCACAAAACTCCGTATTGGCGTCAAGAAGGACATCCGGCCATTAACCACTCTGCTAGCTCCATTCGATTGCCAGACTCCACCCCGCAAGGAATTATGGGTTCATTAAAAGATGATGATGATGATCATTGTAGATTCTCTGCCATGTGATCTCTTCATGCATTGAGTTCTCCTGAATCCTATTCTTGATCACTCGCCCACATTCAGTTCTGTTTCCTACTCTTACAGCTATCTGTGTGGATGGTACTTTCCATAAGTATGTCTTCACTCCTGATGGAAATTGCAACCGTGAGGCCTTTGATGTCTACTTGGATATATGCGACGATGATGACTTTTGAGTGTAGCTTTATTCCCGTTGTTCAAGCAAAAGCATGTGAGGCTGAAGCCTTGAAATCCAGCGTTACACAAGCAGCAACAGGAGTTTCCTTTCCTCTCCACCTTTGCCCCCGTATGTTCCAGAAGGTTCTTTAATATTCCATAACAAATTTGGAGGTGTGGGGGGAAGCTGCAGGGAATGGGAATTCTGCTGGCAGAAGACCATCACTAGATATAATGCAAAGGTTTTCAGAGTGCCGAGATGGGAAAGGCTGAAAACATCTTGCTATAAGGGTGGAGTGAATTCTGGAGAACAGCTGCATTTTTTCTTTCTTGATGCCACCTTTCCAGAAGTCTGTTCTTACTGCTGCTTTAGCTCAGCTGCCATATTCATTTGGGACTGAGAAATACAGACAGCTGAGTTTGGGGAGCAAGAACCTGTCAGGTCACTGTACTTCCTATACCCTGGGACCTTTGGAGGTACGTATCTGGATGCACCCAACAATGATGGGCATTTGGGAAGGAGGAAAAAAGGCATAGTTAACATTAAGAATCAAGAACAGATGTTTATGTTATTTAATTGACATTCTGTGAACAATAAAGGATGAAGGACATTCTGAAGAACTGAAATTCTGATGTGAAATCTTCTTTGTTGTCTATATGTAGGTGGAAAATATCATTCTTTATGAAATCCTTCATTGGAGAAGACCAGATAGCAACCCATCCTTTTTTCTAGAGGAAAAAGGCTAGAGTGAACTAGATGCCTTATTACTTCTATAAGAGCAAGTAGTTTTAAGAGCAGAATATCAATCACACAGATACTCTTTGTCTAATTTAAACTGATAACATCCATATATCATATGAATTGTGTGGCTTTAAATTATTATTTCCCTTTTCTACTGACTTCTTTCTGATCTCTCCCTATACCAATATTATTGTACTAGTTATATAAATACAACACAGTACTCATAACTACCATTGTGAATGCCTCCCCTGCCATTCTAATTAATAAACACTGGCCAGAATTTTTTGAAGTCACATCTCCCAACCTCTCTATTGTCTTACAAGAATTTTTATAAGATTAAAAAGCAATAAGATTTGGTGAGATTTTTGGACTTTTTATTTTTTATTTTCTTTTTCAAAAAGCTAACATTTTATTTGTATATTGATTAAATTCAATTCTGTCATAGCAGTAGAAATCTTACAGCACTGTTCACTGTCTGAAAAATTTGCTGACTATTTTCTTAGCACTTGAGGGACATTCAACTTTGGATGCATTTGCACATCATACTACATTAAAACTTCCCTATGGTTTGATGTCATACATGTAGGAGAGTCATTGTGGAAAGAAACCCCTTCTGTGAGCAATAATGGGAGCTGAGAGTGATTACTGACACGATCAGATTCCAATATATACAGTAAGCTAAATGTGAGCACCTTACAAATGGAATGATGTTTCTGGAAAAAGAAAGACCAGACACGAATGGGACTGCAATGATGCAAAGCAAAAATGCAACCTTCCAATCCCAGCACTGACATTTATTTATTGTGTATTTCCCATGACTGTCCCCTTCTCCGATGTGTGTTGATCACACAAGAACTAAAAGCTTACCGGACAGTATCAAGATTCAGGAGAATCTCCAAAAGTTAGAACATTGGGTGGAAGTCAGTAAGGTGAAAAAAAATCAGAGGTAGAAGATGGAGGACCACAGCATCACAGGCCAAAAAGGATTTGGGGGATCTTCGGGGATCATGAGTTGAGCCAGAGATAGATGTGGTGCAGCTGAAAACAAAAAAGCAAAGCCAGCCTCATCAACCGAAGAACACTATCAGGATCAAGAGAAACAAGCTATCTTCCTTTCTGTTGTGTATTGCTCAGGACACACTAGAATGTTATATCCAGTTCCAGACATTGCATTTTAGAAAGGAGATTGACAAGCTGAAGCATTTCCAGAGGAGAGCAATCAAGAGGAAAGGAAAAACACATTGGAGCCACCTAGCTGGAGAAGAGGAGGCAATGGAGAGATGCAATGGTTGCCTCCATGTTTCTGAAGAGCTGCCATGTAGAAAAGGCAAGATTTTTAGACTTACTCCAAAAACAGGACAAAAAACACATTCACGTATCAAGTGGGCTTTGGTTTAAAATCAGAAAAATCCTAACTGTACCCAATAGTGGAGCTGTGGTGGACTTTGTTTTACTGGAGGCATTAAAAGAGAAGCCTGATGGCCGTATCTAGGAGATGCTGTAATAAAAGTTTTTGCCTCTGGTAAGGTGTTGGGAGTCATTGATCTATCAATCCATTTAATCTTTAAGATTACCGGTATATAGCAGAAGAAGCAACAAAAGGGATCTCATTTCCTTTCGTTTATTTGGCCCATCCCAATTCTTTTCAAAAACCACGCCGGACTTTTCAGGGAGCCTAGCTTATTGTATCAGTATAAAGTAGCTTCTATAGTTGCCTGCAGGTCTTTGTAGAAAGTCCCCAATGTTTCCTTGGAGGAGTCGCATCTTTCTTATCGCTATGAGGCGATTAAAGCCCCGGGGAGTTACAGAAGCCCAGGAAAAGAAAGCAACTCCAGCGGCCGCTAAAGGCGACGCCCCGCTCCACTCCTCCTCCGCGGCATTCCAGTTTCCATGTCTTCCTGCTGGCAGGTTCTGTCGCCGCAATGCATTGTGGGGGTGGTAGTTCCTCCCGCCCCGAGCGAGAGAAGATGTCCGAGGTGCGGTTCCCCCCAATTCGGGCGCTGGATGATTTTCTCCTGGGCTCCACTCGCTTGGCTGCCCCGGACGTGCGGGACCTGCAGCGCTGGCACAATCGCGTGATTAACAACCTCCTGTACTACCAAAGCAATTATCTGCTACTGCTGGGCGTGGGGCTGCTGCTGGGCGGGTGAGTGCCACGGCGGCGGGCGGAGCAGGGCCGGGAGGCATTGTGCAGAGTCCGGAGGGAGAGGCGGGGGTCGTGCGGGGGAGACTCGGATATCGAACAATAGGCAGGCTTGGTTGGTGGAAGGCGAAAGGCCGAACTAAGATGGGGAAGCTTAGCAACAGAAATTTGGGGCATAATTGTGGTCATAAGTCAAGGACTACCTGTATTGAAATCTGAGCTCCTTAGGAGAAGACATTTCATCTTCCAAAGGTGTTATACGGAAACTAAGAACAATCCCTGCTTCAATCTTTGGAAGGGAAAAAGTGATGTAAGTGGAAAAATGGCCACTTAAAAAACAAACAAACCCATTGCTCCTGCAATTTTGAACACCAATCCCAAGAGGTTTCTGTGTCTTTAATGATCCTGGGGTGGGGCAACTGCAAGTGATGTAATCATAAAGCATCTGGAACACGGGTCTCCAACCTAGGCAAACTTGAAGACTTGGGGACTTCAACTCCCAGAGTTCCTCAGCCAGCTGAGGAACTCTGGGAGTTGAAGTCCCCAAGTCTTCAAGTTGCCAAGGTTGGAAACCCCTGATCTGGAAGATGGCAAATTGGAGCATCGTCCTAAATTTTGGTACTCAAATTTAAAACTACAACGTGAGAGAGTCTACGCAAGCATAAATGTAATACAAGATAATCCTCACCTGTCCCCAGGCAGCAGAATCTTCAGGCGTCTGCAAATGCCTCTCTGAAAAACTGTTTTCATAGCTCTTCAAAAACGGAATTGTGTGGACTCTTTATCAGTCAAAGTTTAGGCTCAGGCATGTGACTGAAACAGCTTTGGTCACTGTCCCTTGTATGGGACTGGTGTATCTGTCGTGGCCCTTTTCTCACTGGACTTTGAGATCTTTTGGATCATCATGGGTGGATTGGAGCCATCTTATGGTATTTTTGGGCGCCGCCATCTTTTTTTGATGAAAAAGTGCTTCCGGTGAGCTTTTCCGGGTAGAAAGGTCACCGGAAGCACGTTTTCATAAAAAAAAGATGGCGGCGCCAGCGCTTCCGGTGAGCTTTTCCGGGTAGAAAGGTCACCGGAAGCACTTTTTCATCAAAAAAAGATGGCGGCGCCCAGCTGATGCCGGTACCGGGCCGCGGCGCCCAGCTGATGCCGGTACCGGGCCGCGGCGCCCAGCTGATGCCGGTACCGGGCCGCGGCGTAAAAAAGGTTGGGGATCACTGCTTTAGAGGATGATTCTAGTCAGTAGTGTTTTTCCAAGTGATCAGGTGCCCATGCAACTGGTTCTTTTACAATCAGAAACAATGTAAATAAAGGGATTTTAAACTTTATTATTAGCTAAAGCAAACAGATTAAAAAAACATAACAGAAAAAGCATACATACCAAGCAGGATAATATTCAAATCTCTTATAAGCTCCTAGGAGCTCCTTCCTAATACCAGAGGTGCATGAAGGGTGGCCAATTTCCATAGTACCCAGTTCCGTGCTCCAGGCAAACAACAGCAACCCTGAGATTTTTATCAAAACCTGTCACCGTGACTTCAAGGCCCTGTTATGGTTAGAACACTGTAAGGCCTGCCCTTGACTGCATGACATGTGACTCTGGCATGGGAATCAAAAGTCTGACGCTTTCACAGTGAGAACAGCTTTGAAGCTACATGGAGATTTCTTCCCCTCCTTTATTCAGTTAAAAGAATAGCCAAACTGGGAACAAGCTCTAAACCAGGGGTGTCCAACCTTGGCAACTTTAAGACTTGTGGACTTCAACTCCTAGAATTCCTC